CCTGGGATTCAAGCTGCGAGGTGGGAGGCATACTAGAGAAACTCTGGCCTTGCAGAGTCCCTGTTCCCCGATTTTTTTCCTTTTCACCCAATAAAACCCTGCCCTGCTCACCCTTCAAATTGTCTGCAAGCTTAAATTTTCGTAGCCATGTGATAAGAACCCCTGTCTTCAGCTGAACCAAGGAAAAGTTCTGCAACACAATCACCCCATTTTTACCAAAGGTAATCAACATAAAACCGATTTGTGAGTAAAAGAATACAGTCTCATTAAACTTGTGCTGATCATTTACATAAGTGCATCAAGAATAGTGATGGATCATGCAGGCTCGCTCCTTCCTTCCTTCCTTCCTTCCTTCCTTCCTTCTTCCTTCCTTTCTTCCTTCCTTCCTTCCTCCCTCCCTCTTTCCTTCCTTCCTTCCCTCTGTCCCTCCCTTCCTCCCTCCTTCCTTCTTTCCTTTCTTCCTTCCTTCCTTCCCTCCTTCCTTCCTTTCTTCCTTCCTTCGTCTCTCTCTCTCTCTCTTTCCTTCTTCTTTCAAGGAAAGAGTCTCACTCTGTTGCCCAGGCTGGAGTGCAGTGACACAATCTCAGCTCACTGCAACCTCTGCCTCCAGGTTCAAGTGATTCTCCCGCCTCAGCCTCCCAAGTAGCTGGGATTATAGATGCCCACCACCATGCCCAGCTAATTTTTGTATTTTTAGTAGAGATGAGGTTTCACCAGGTTGGTCAGGCTGGTCTCGAACTCCTGACCTCAGGTGATCCACCCCCCCCCCCCCCGCCCACCGCTTGGCCTCCCAAAGTGCTGGGATTATAGGCATGAGCCACTGCTCCGGGCCTAGGCTTTTTTTTTAAAGTCTACTTTGCTGTAATCTCAGATTGTACATTTAAAAGCCCCTGAAGGCTAGGAAGCCAAGTCAAGGACTTAGCATTAGATGTCATCTGTGATACCTATAGATTTGGTGAATTCCTTTCTTCTTGAGGTTTCCAAAATATCCTGAGGGTTTGGGGCCTGTCGGACAGTGGCATTCTTTACAGAGCTATCAAGTCAAGAGCCTTTTAAAGCCACATACAAGGCCAGCTTTTCCAAGAAAGCTTTGTAAGCATTGGCTCCATAAAGTCAACCTTACTTCCTTAAAGTTGTCTAGTCATATCTGGAAATGTGATATTTCAGTTGAAGCCTTAATAGTATAAGCAATGTTTCCAATTATGTCCTGTTATAAAGAGAACATATTCTTACTGAACTCACGTAGGCAACTATATTGCCATAAAAATAAGAATACTCATGGAGAGTTAGTTTCTAAATTGGTGGAGGAGGGGATCTGGTAGGAAGAAAAGATAAATGTCTCCTTTGTGTTTACTCAGGTATGCCTTACTAACTTGCTATAAGCTATAGATCATTAAGAGAAAAAAAAGAGAAAACTTTTGTTAAATCTGTAAAGCATAATGTGAAAGAATCGCCAGTGTTTCGCACAGAAGTCATAAAAAAATGGTCTTCAGCTGTTTGTTTACTCCCACGCAATTAACTCTTATTCTGCCTCATTTTGTGATAGCACTTTCATGAGCCTGTCGGTTTCTTCATTGGAGTTCTGGAAACTCTTCCAGTCTGGCCTTAAAGTTATTGGAAACCTATGTTTCAGAGTACTTGTCAGAGGCTTTTTCTATGATTTTGTTAGAAAGAGCAGAAACTTTGGACGGTAGCTGGTTGTAAATGCCTTCAGGAAGAATCAAAATAAACAATAGCCATCTGTGAATAACAGAAGACTCAGAAAGGCCATGGTTAAGGGTCTGATAAGAGTTCACGATAATAATGATGAAATTGACAAGGAATTTGGTTATTTCTATGACGCAACATTTTAACATGTTAACTAGAATCATTACTGATAATGTATTAGACATATCACATTTCTAGGAATTTTATGTAATTTTTAGAACACATATTAATGATATATGTTCATATCAATATAACATGAAGGTTAAATATTATTTTCACTATGTTTCCCTATACTTTAATATGTCAAATAAGCTTAATTAGTTTAATATCTCTTTCTGTAAGGAGAGAAAACAAATATTTTATAATCCTCCAGATACCCATCTGGAAAATTCTAAAGTTAGCTCAAGGTAATTTAGATTTAATTTAGAATTTGATTTTGGAAAGTTTGTCAAAAATGGAAAGTTTGTCAAAAAGTTAAAGTAATTAATTAAAACATGATCATAGGTCATGAAATAATACCAAAGTGACAGATGATTTCAAAGGCAAATACAGAAAGTTACATTGTCCTTTAAAAAAAAAAAAACAAAAAACTTCAGCTTTTTTAATACTAAGAAAACTTAGTTTACTTAAGTAATCAAAGACAATGAAGACAATGAGGACAGAAAATTATTTCGAGCAAACACAAAATTTCTGTTTTCTAGGCAAATTATTTCAAGCCTAAAAGAAAACACTTTGGCCAGGTGCAGTGGCTCATGCCTGTAATTCCAGCACTTCGGGAGGCCAAGGCAGCTGAATCATGTAGGATCAGGAGTTCAAGACCAGCCTGGCCAACATGGCAAAACCCTGTCTCCACTAAAAATACAAAAATTAACCAGGCATGGTGGTGCACACCTATAATCCCAGCTACTCGGGAGGCTGAGGCAGGAGAATTGCTTGAACCCAGGAAGCGGGGGTTGCAGAGCAGAGATAACGCCATTGCACTCCAGCCTGGGTAACAGAGTGAGACTACATCTCAAACAAAACAAAACAAAACAAAACCATTTTTATAAATCTCTTATCAAGAGCAGATCAGTGTTCCAAAAAAAGTTTTGTCCTTTAAATTGAGAGGACAAAATTCTACTTTTGCATCAGTTTGCTTATGATATTAAGGGTCATTTTAAAAACCCTTATAATAAATTCATTCAGTTTAGTCAGCTTGACTATATGAGTCTCTATTTAGCTCTCTCTCTCTAACATTTTACATCCATCCAGTTTTTATCCTTTATTCATTGATCCATCCTGAAACAACCTTTGGAACCTCAAAACTTACAAAATTATTCTTTTCCTCAACAATAGCAAAAAACCACACCTTTCTTTATACCTTATAACATCTCACTTTCATTGTAGCTTTTCATACTGAAGTATTTCCTTTATGATTGCTAGCAGTTTTTGTATTAGAATTCTTACCTCTTAGTGACTTTAATTTCTAGTAAAAACTAGAAAGCCAGGAAATAAGCAATTGTAAACATCTATGGATTTGTGAATACATTATTTCATTACTTCTAGGAATATATGTGCTTCACTGTTGTACAATTTTTCAGTGTGGCACAGGACATATTTATCAACAGACCCAAATATCTTTGGTTATTCTGTAATAAGAAGTCAGAAGAATAGGTTACACTTATGTTCAGCAATTAACGTTTCAGCATTATGTCTTATTTGAAAATGATCTAGATATTCAACAAATTGTCAATCATTTAATTTAACCTAATATAGTTTTAAGGTTTTAGTTTGCAAAAAATATTTTGGAAACTATTTTTAAGTACACTTATTTTATAAAACATAATCATTGTTGAAAGGGTTATTTATAAACTTTGTCCTACTTACATTTATTAAGTCTACTTGGTTTTAACAATTATGTCTGAATTGTTAATGAAGACTTCATGAAACATTAAGCAAAGCTAGTTATTATCTTATTTTCTTATAGACAAATCAGTCAAGTATCAAAAAAATCAAAGAAACAAAGACAAAAGTTACAACATATGGCTCTTTTCAATTTTTTAAATTGTCATTTTTTCGTTCCTCAAGCAACTTACCTTTTACTAAATATTTTGTTCTTAGGTTGAATTTATAATTTTATACTCTTAAACATACATAACCTTTTAGAATTGTAAGTCCAGATAGAAGAATTTGTATGTGTGCATTATATTTAATGTTGACAATGCAGAAAACATGCATGCTTTAATTAAATCAACAAACTTTAAGTCGGTTTTTATTTACCAAAGATTATCTAAAACCATGTGAACTTGAAAAACACTTGGGTTAGTTTCTCTTTTTCTGAGATAAAAATTTGTGTACTTTTTTTTTTTCTTTTAAGTCGCATCATCACATAGGTACCACTAGGACAAGATAAAAGCTCTCTTAAAACAAAACAAAACAAAACAAAACAAAAAAACGAAAAAACACTTTTAGATAGAAAAGTCCAAATCTTCAAAGATATACCTACTTCAATTTTGACTCAAAACTGATTATCCTTTTATGGCTTAATCAGGGACAGAAGAGGCATCCCTAAAAAGGATACAAAAGTACCCCCACCACCCCACCCAGAAAGTCAAAGTTTCCTCCAAGGATATCTAAGAAAGTAAAGACTCTCATTGATAACAAGGCAACAAAGGCTGAGGCAATTAAGACAAACTCTCCTGAGAGCTGGCGAGGTCATACAAAAAGACACTTCATGCTTCAGAATCCTGGGGAGCTGGCTAACTGCCTGGTATAAGTCCAACAGCTTGGGCCCCAGGCTAGTGGAAACCAAAGAGCACATTTTCACTGATTACAAAGCCAAACTCTTATGACTTAAAAGACGATGAAGGAGAGTCTTATGCAGGGCAGGTGAGCCTCAATATTGGGGATCAACCTGAGAGAGTTCTTGGCTTCATCCAGGAAAGGATTCAAGGGTGAGCCAGTGGTGACAGAAAGTAACATTTATTGAGCCAGTACTGCTCCTTGCAGAGCAGGGCTACCCATAAGCAGTGCACCCAGAGTCAGCAACACATAAGCTGTTGGCAGCTGTATTTATACCCACTTTTAATTATATGCTAATTAAGAGATGGATTATTCAGAACATTCTGGAAAAGGGGCAGAGAGCTTCCAGAATCACATATGATAACTTCCAGGCCATTATTATGACCAGTTGCCATGGCATGTGCAAACTTTCATGGCACCATGGGAATGTCTTTATGCTAATGAGTAGTAAGGGCAACTAGAGGTCACTTTCATGGCCATCTGCTTATTTTGGCTGGCTTCTTCACTGCATTCTGTTTCAGCCACATCCTTTCAACGAAATCAGCGGGGTCATGACCAGAAAACAAGTCCTGCCAGCCTCCTACCTCAAATCCAATTATAATTTTCCTCATGACAACCCACACAAAAGACAAAGATAAGAAAAAGGACTCCTGGGAAGCTCTGGATCAATTACCAGTCAGAAGCACATTCACAAGATCCACAATTTAAAGAACCAATTTTTACAATTTTTTTTCCTGTCAATTGAATTTGGGAAGGAAGGAACAAGCAAAAATTGTTATCTTCTTCTTTCGACAGCACACTACGGACAGAAATCCAGGAGAGCTGACCTTGGTAAGATTTCCTACCTTCTTCCCTCATTCATTAGGCCCCTCAGGATCCCATCTGCAGGCTCCAGAGGGAGTCAGGGGTGCCCAGCCTGTTAGGACGGGATGTGAACTGCTGGGACAGAAAAATACTCCTTCACACTTTTAGGGTCCCAGGTGGGTCCTAGAATTAAATTGACATAAAATAGATGAACAGGAGAAAAGCACAGTGCAAGTTTTCTATGGCATAGGAGCCTCATAAAGAAATAAAGACCCAAAGAAGCTGTCAGAGTCAGTTAATTCTATACCGGTTTTGACAAAGAATAGTAAACTGTAAACATGGGCTAGGGTGGTTAACTGGATAGAGAAGTAGCCAGCGTGATAAGAGTTAGTTGAACAGGCTTGTTTGTACAGAAATCGTTCCACTTAAACCTTCTTGTCCTTGATGATAAGAACCTTGCCTGTTTTCTACTGTAGAGAAGAAGACATCTTTCACTGGAGAATTTCATCTTCTGCTTTAAAAGAAATAAAGTTCAGACTGATCTCCTTGCACCTGCTGCTCTTCAAGTGAAGTGCCTTTAACTGAAATAGTCAACCTACCAAAATAGAATGTTTTAGCCCCTTCGGGAATGTTGGTTCTTGTTTATTTTCATACATTACTTTTATAATTATAAAAGCTTGTTTTATAATTGTATAAAAGGAGACCTGGGAACACCAGCCTTCTGCCCTCCACATGCAGGAACTGCAGACACGGCAGATAAGGCAGAACTGGAATGCTTTGCTGCCAGCTGGACCTTTGACCCAAACTCCAGTGTGACTCTCTCCAATGCTCACTCAACTGGAATGCATCCATGAGGGTCACTTTCTGTCCAGATCGTGGAGTCTGCATGAAAAGAATCAATACAATCCTATTTTTCTCACTTCTCTCTCTCTCTCAATTCTTAGGTTAAAGAAAAACATAGCAGACCTGGATGGTGCCCAGCTCAGATCCCCTCTGAAGCCTTTTACCAGCTCTGTGCATCCAGCCCAGCCCCTGTATGCCTTGCTGCTAAAGGTTTGCCTCCAAGCACTGGGGCCTTCCCTGGAGAGCTGGAACAACTTGGCAACTCATTCCCAGCCCTTCCCATCCCCCCTTAACTCACAGCCAGTGACTGACCAATGTGGAAATACAAAGTCCCAGCACCTGTGCCTTGGACAGGACAAACCCTGAGATATCTCTGCTTCAACACACCACTCAAGACCAGGATGAAGCTGGGGTGTCACCCAAGATAGCACACTGCTTGGGTCTCTTCCCCTCCCCTATTTTCTCCCCCACCCCTGGTCACCACTGCCACACTGGTACATCTCAGGAGCACTTCCTCAACAAACCCCTTGCACTGAATCCATGGCTCAGGCTCTGCTTCTGGGAGAATAAGACCTGCTGGGGAAAACAGTAATGATGAATACAGTCGTGAACCAGACAAAGCAACCTTTGACTTCATGAAGCCAATGGGGAAGAATAACTCATTTTATTGATTGGATGCCTGGCACAGAAGAAGGGGTGAGTACCTACATTCATAGGTGAATTGTCAGCCAAGGTGGGGGAGTTACTTCAGCAATCCTCTTTGGTGCTCATTCTAAGAGCACTGCTGTGCTGCCTCAGACACAGAGCCTAAGGAAAATGTGTCCGCATTTAATGGCAGGTGGACAGCCAACCTTATCCTTTGTCCCAAGTCTCCTAAGAACAAACATGCAGAGCCTGCTCCAAGCTGGACAAAAGTCCAATTCCCTCTGTCTTCCTCTCAGAAGGTAGTCTCCCGAGACTCTGCCTTGAATAAGTAGAATTTGTCTGATGTGTTTTTGTTAGTGGGGGTTTTATGTGCTTTCTTTTTAATCTTCCCTAGGAAAAAATAACTGATCATTGGCAAAAAGCTGAGGATGACAACCTGAGGGGATGAAAGGCTGTCTTTTCGCCCCCTTCTGAGCTTTTCTGCTGGCTCCCAGCTGGGAGAAACCAGCACAATGAAAGATAAAGAATACTGGAAAAGAGAGAGAGTGGGCAGAGCCACGACCTCATCCTCCCAGTGGTTACTCTTGAGTCTGATTTGACAAGATGTCTTCTCAACCAGGTGACCCCCTGGGAACACATCAGTATGTCACCCCACGACCTCACTGAGTCCTCACAACAAATCCAGGGTGTAGATTGTTTTTCCTGTTTAGAGATTACAAATTGAAATGCAGGAAGATTAAAGAACTTGCCTGAGGTTGCTTCAGTAATAAAATAACCTGGATTAGAACCCAGACCTTCCCAGCTCAATAACTGAGTCCTTTGTTACTGATTACACCTATCTCATGGGCATAATGCCATCTACAATCTCTCTCTGTTCCACTGTTTAAGATTAAATCCTATGAGGGTTAACTGAGATCATGCATGTTCAGCACTTAGCCTGGAGTCTGGTGTGAGATAAGCACTCTATAAATGCTACCTAGTGTTGTCATTGCTGTTGATGGTGTTGTTGCCATTTTTGTTACTGTTTCTGCTGCTGCTGATACTGCTGTTGCTGTTTTTGCTGTTGTTGCTGCAGGTTATGTTGCTGCTGTTTTTGCTGTTGTTGATGACAATGTTTTTGCTAGTGTTCTTACTATCTTTGATGCTGCCATTATTGCCATTTTGTGGCAGTTGTTGCTGCTGATGTGCTGCTACTGTTGCTGTGATGATGCTGTTGACATTGTTACTATGAATGTTGTGATGATGCTGTCGACGCTGTTACTGTGGGTGTTGTCATGATGCTATTGACACTGTTACTATGGATGTTGTGATGACATTAACATTGTTACTGTGGGTATTGTGATGATGCTGTTGACACTTACTGTGGGTGTTGTGATGATGTTGTTGATGTTTCTCTGATACTGTTATGTTGTTGGTGATGTTACTGTGGAACAGTGATGCTCCAGACATTGTTTCTGTACATGATGTCTTGATGCTGTTGCTACTATTACTGTGGGTGTTGTGATGATGCTGTTCATGCTTCACTGTGGATATTGTTGCATTGTTACTGTCAATGTTCTGGCTGATGTGGTTGGCAGGGCTGTTGTTGCTATTTTATTCCTGTTGCTGAGATGTTATTGTATTATTGTTGTTGCTGCTGTTGTTACTGCTGCTGTGCTGCTATTACTGATGTGATAATGTTGTAGATGTTATTAATGTTGATGTTGTTGCTGATGATGTTGGTGTTAATATACCCATCCAGATTCACTGCTTTTGTTACACACTTCCAAACCAAATTTAATTTAGGCATAACTTACTAGTCATACAAGGATATACTTATAGCCTGCCCCTCATGTTTCCACAGAGGCTGAGAATTTCCATTCCACTCTCTGGGAGAGATTTTGAAAGCCATCTATAGCCTTCTTTGCCTCCTCGCTTAATGGGGCATTCTTCTCTCAGACATCCCTTTCAGAAACATAAGCTGGCCAATGGTACATGTGCCAAGGAGAGTGAGTCTACCTCTATCGAGGTATAAAGTAAGAGGAGACTCATATGGCTACCCACCTCAGGTACCTGGGTCAATTCAGCCTTTCAGCATGATATTTTCATCCCCATCTGTCTCGCTCCTGTGTCTAATTGGTTCAAAACTGGGAGATGAAGAAAGAGGTGCCATATTTACCTCTAAGACACCAACGAAGCCTTCATGATAGACTTCAGTTCACTTTTTACCTCCCCAAAGAATCCTTTCCTTATTTCTACAACCCAGAATCGTCTCACTCGCCTATGAATTTTTATAGCAGTTTGCTATTTACTCACATACCAGTAAATATTGTGAAATATGGGAACCTGGCTAGACTGTGAGCTCCTTCAGACTAAGAACATATCTTAAACATTCTCTCAATTAATGTGGTTCTAGACACATAGTAGGTGCCCAGTAAATGCTTGTAAAGTGAAATACATTGGAAGCTTCCTACTTAGGAATGGTTTCATGTGGCTGAGTCTTTATGCCGTCCTATATTTTTGAATGGAAAATATTAATTGGAAATCTGTGATCCAGAACTTATATACGATGAATGAATGCCCTTGATGGTATGGAAATGGGAAGAACTGATTAAGTTCTTTAGTTTTTAAGACCCGTCAGTTGATATTAACATCTTCTTATTACATGTAATTCAATAAAAGTGTAAGTCATTACCTATAGAGGCATTGGGATGGATGCCAGGCTTCCAAAATTGAGCATAAAATCCAAGGGGTTTCAAAGTAGGCCATTCTCCAATGCTCCTTTCACAAAAGAGATCGTGCCAGTAACCTTGAGGAGTCATGGGCCTGGGGAGGAACCTGTGAACCTTTCCACAGAATCGAGTGTGTGGCTTTGTACGGTGCTTACCCCCATCTCTCTAGGATAGCTATTTCTTTATTATTGTATATATTTAAGGTGTACAGCATGATGTTCTGATACACATGGTGAAATGATAGCTACAGTCAAGAAAGTTAACATATCAACCCCCTCACATAGTTACGGGGTGTGTGTGTGTGTGTGTGTGTGTGTGTGTGTGTGTGTTAATAACACATAAAATTCAGTCTTTTAGCAAATGTTCAGCATACAATACAGTACCATGAACTGTAGTCCGCCTGCTATGCACTAGGTTGGATTTATTCATGTCACATGACTGCAAGTTTGCACTCTTTGATCTATAACCTCTAGGACTTTTCAGTTCCTGAACTGGCCAGCAAATTCCAGCTGACTGAGGTTACCAGGCAGCTGACTACCTCATAAGGTAAATTCTTGTTTTAGAAGCACTTTAGGCTTTTTGTAGGACTGGTTTCACTTCTTACTCATCTGGTGAATAAGGCTTCATCAATTTGCAAGTAAATATTGTGTTAATAATATCATCTAATAGGCGCTGAGAACTTGGTGTGAACCACAGTCACCTAGCAGACTACCTACCATGCTGAGCATCCATCCCAATGCCCCTACAGGTAATGACTTACACTTTTATTGATTGATTCTCTCAATCCTCATGTCCTGAGAGTAAAGACCGGTGCATCTCTCGCCTTCAGCACTCATGGGCACTAATGCATTTAATTCTCACAATAACCATCTGAGGGAGACACTGTTAATACCCTCCCAACTTTGCGGAAAGGCCTGGAGCACAGAGGAGTTCAGTTATGTGCCCAAGGCCGGGAGCCATTAAGGGAATGGGGACCCAGATCAGCTATCTCTGGAGGCTCCACGAGTGACAAGAAAATGGAATCCCAGGTTCACTGAGGCATGAAAAGACTTCCCTTGTATTGCTCAGGGTGCTCCAGGGAAACAGAACCAATAGAATGTGTGTGTACGGTCCTCCCTTGGTTACAGGAGATTGGCTCCAGGACCCCGCACCGATACAATAAAATGGTGTGGTATTTGCATGTAACCCATAGCATGTCCTCCTATGTACTTTAAGTCAGGGGTCCCCAGTCTCCGGGCCACAAACCCACCCTACCCATGGCCTGTTAGGAACCAGCCCATGCAGCAGGTGAGTGAGGTGAGTGGTGGGTGAGTGAGCAAAGCTTCATCTGATTTACAGTCGCTCCCCATCGCTGACTCACATCACCATCTGAGCTTCATCTCCTGTCAGATCAGTGGCAGCATTAGATTCTCATAGGAGCACAAACCCTATTGTGAACTGCACATGCGAGGGACCTGGCTGCACACCCTTTAGAGAATCTAATGCTTGATGAACTGTCCCTGTCTACCATCACCTCCAAATTGGACCATCTAGTTGCAGGAAAACAAGCTTGGAGCTCCCACTGATTCTACATTATGGTGAGTTGCATAATTATTTCATTACATATTACAACTTAATAATAATAGAAGTAAAGTGCATAATAAATATAATGAATGTGTTTGAATCATCCTGAAATCACCCTGCTGCCAGTCCATGGAAAAATTCTCTTTCATGCGACCGGTCCCTGATGACAAAAGGCCTGGGGACCACTACTTTAATTCATCTCTACTTTACCTATAATACATAATACAACTGAAATGCTATCTAAGTAGTTGTTACGTGCATTGTTTGGGGAATCATGGCAAGGAAAACACCTGCATGCAACTTTCATGGGTCTAACTAAATATTCCAACTGCAGTTGGTTGAATCCACAGATGAGAACCGTGGATACAGAGGGCCGCTGGTATGTTGATAGAGATTTACTTTAAGGAGGCTGGGAAGTCCAAACTCCACAGGGCAGACGGCCAGGCTGGAGACCCAGAGGGGAGCTGAGGCTGCAGCTCCAGCCTAAAGGCCATCTGTGGACAGAACTCCCCTTGCTCAGGGGAGGTCAGTTTTTTCTGCTGTTCAGGCCTTCAACTGATTGGACGAGGCCCACACGCATTGTGGAGGGCAACCTGCTCTACTCAAATGCCCTAACTTAGATGTTAATCTCATCCAAAAACACCCTTGCAGAAGCATCCAGAATCATGTTTGACCATATCTCTGGGCACTACGGCCCAGCCAAGTTGACTCATAAAATTAACCAGCACACCCAATATCACACAGATATAAGAGACCCAGGACTCAGGCCCTCGAAATGTGACTGAACCCGCATGTTATTACACGTGGGACCGGGAGCCTCTGTTTTCAGCAGCTCTGCAACCCACCCTGTCTGCCAGCAAGCAGGGGTCAGTTGTGTCCTTCCTTCTAGAGCTGACTGTCCTTGTTCTCTCCCCAGTGGCTACTTAAGTGAGGCCACTGCTGCCTCTGCACTGACCATCTAGCAGAGAGAGCTTAGCTGCTCTCTGCTTTAAGACTTCATCAAGCACAGCCTTCAGGATGCCCAAGGTGAAGAGCATGGATCGAATCTGTTTCCTGGGCTGCTTGTCTTGGGAGGGAAGCCAAGCGTGCAAGCTGTGCAGGGATGGGACCAGAGATGGCCAGCACTAGCAGGCAGCGTGGTGGACTCTAACCCCGGAGTCTCCCTCCATACTCTACCCTGAAATCAGGAAGCGGCTCTGACTCTCCACTGCAGAGAAGAGGAATAAAGGAACCAAACCTTGTTCACTCATTCATTCAGCAGATCTTCCCACCATGTGCCCGCATTCCAGATGCTATAACATGTCACTGACAAAACAGACAGAAATCGTTTCTCATGGAGCTGTCCTTGCGGTGGAGGGACACAGACAACAACTCAGCAAAGAAGCAAATGACAGTACGTGACAAGCTGACGAGTGCCAAGGAGAGAAATCAATGAGGGAAAGGGACCGGGGTGCGGGAGGAGGCGGGGTTGCAATTTTCAACAGGGCAACTAGTGAAGGTCTTGCTGAGATGGTAACATTTGAATAAAGA